TGAAATCATGAACAGCCATTCGGGCAAACCTCACAGTCACTTGTGCCACTCGGGCATACCTCACAATCACTCTTGCCAATCGGGCATACCTCATAATCACTCATGCCTCCCAGTCACTCAGCACTCGGCACTCGCACTCAACAGGTACCTGCGCTCACTGGGGGTGTGTACAGACTCCGGAGGGCTTCTTCAGCCCAAGCGCTATATCAAGCCAAATCATGGCATAAATCACTCGGGCCCTTGGCCTATATCAAACATGTTGCAGCGTGCAGCCCGATCCCATAAATATGCAACATGCTGCGGCATGCAGCCCGATCCCATAAATATCCTCACAAATCAGGCCCTCGGCCTCACTCAGTCATAAACCTCTCAAGCCACTCGGATATTTCAGTAAAACAGGGCATTCGGCCCAAAATATTTATATGCATCAAAATAGAGTCATAAAACTAAGTATGCGATAAACAAGTATAAACATGACTGAGTATAGATTTTCAATCGAAAACAGTGAGAGCATAGTAAGAAAAGGCCCCTGAGGGTCCAAACAGCAGTGGCACAAGGCCCAAACTAAGGGTGGGCATAAAATCTGAAAAACCAAATTCCGAACCGGAATGAATTAATTCAATATTTCGGTTTCGGTTTTTTCGTTATTTCGGTATAATTCAGTATTATATTTTTGGTATTTTGGTATAACGGTTCGGTCCTCGGTATTTGGATCTTGAAATTTCGGTACACCGAAATACCGAATTTTAAAGAATTTTATGTTGGACCTATACTGCCAAGCCCAACCTAATATATTGTATCTCTAATTCTCTACACTGCCCTAGTACCCAACCCAACCCAATAAGGCCCAACTCTTACCCTCTTTAGTATTTTCCTAGTTTCACTTCACTACAGGAAATTAGAAAGGGAGAAACAGAAACCTAGCTAAAGAGGCAAAGAGCTATGACTGTGAGAGATAACTCAGAAAAATGAGAACCTCGGCGCGATAGAGACGAGTCAGACGATGTCACAGCGACTTCACGACCTCGGCGCCGACGACTCTCAAGTGTGACTGCTGGTTTCCTTATTTTTTACCTTCATTCTTCAATCTTCAACTCTTCAAAAGGTTCATAACTTTTCATTCTTCAATCTTCAGTTTTTTATAATAATTTATGGTAGATTAATTGGTAGTTCTTGGAATAAGGAAAACTCTTTGTTTTGCCACTTATTTTTTTTAATGGCTAATCTCTTCATAAACAAGTTCTGAAAAATTCAACTTTGAACCTAAAGATTCCAGTGACATGTAAACTTGTAAAGAGTGGGATTAGTTTTTTAGTAGAGTTATTAAACTACAAGATTTGAATGAGTGGAAACTAGGGGTGGGCAAGCAAAAAGAATTTATGTGATTATCTTTCACTAGGTGGCGTGCAAAGAGGCATTTTCTTGTTAGGTGGCGTACTTTATTTTGATTATCTTCATTTGATATAATAATGAAATCATCTAACAAATTCTATATTTGTAAAATAAAAAAGGAAACTGAACGTCTACATTAATTGTCTTATAGAAGGTTACTAACTTTGACATGAAGACTCACTTCCAGATTCCACTCTTTGCATAATATTATTTTTTCTTGCTCTCAATTACTAGTATTTATAGTCAAAGATAATCACATAAATATATCTCTAATGAGATTACAAAATTATGTTAGGGAAACAGTAGCCCAGAAACTCATAGATATCCTTGTCAAATACTTGTCAACCTCCATTTTAGACTTTGATTATCTAAACTCAACTCTAGTCTCAATTTGTGTTTATATTTGTTTTAATTTTGTATAGATGGCGGATGAAAGTAGAGTAAGTGATGCCGGTTCAACTAAAAGTTTACCTATTACTGAAGATAGCAACACCAACACAATTGATACTCAAGATTCTAAGAAAAGAAAAGCCATGCAACCTCGATCCGAAGTTTGGCAACATTTTGATAAATTTGCGGTAAATGGGGTCGGTAAAGTAAAGTGTAGATATTATAAGCAAGCTTATGCTGCTAATACGTCTAGGAATGGAACAACAAGATTGAAAAATCATTTAGCTAGATGCAAAGAATACCCACCTTACATTGATAAAGATAATAGTCAAACAAAGATAAATTTTTAATCTTGCCAAAATGATGGAGGATCGCTTTGGAAATTTGATCAAGAAGTGGTTAGGAGGGCCTTAATTGAGATGATAGTTATTGATGAACTACCATTTAGCTTTGTAGAAAAGGAAGGCTTTATGAATTTTATGAGAATAACTCAACCATTATTTCGTCTTCCTTCTCGTAGAACAATAACAAGGGATTGTTATGAAGTTTACGGTGAATTGAAGCAAAATCTAAAAAGGTCTTTTAGAGAAGCAAAACCAAAAATTTGCCTCACAACAGACACATGGACTTCATTGCAAAAAATAAATTATATATGTTTGACAGCCCACTTCATTGATAGGGATTGGAAGTTGCATAAAAGAATACTAAATTTTTGCCCTATCACTAGTCACAAGGGTGAAGAGATGGCTAAAGCTATTTCTAATTGTTTGCTTGAATGGAAATTAGACAAGGTGTTCACTATTACCGTGGACAATGCTTCTTCAAATGATGTCACAGTCAAAGAATTGTCTAAAAAATTAGATATGTGAAAAACTAATATGATGAGTAGTAAACATCTTCATGTGAGATGCATGGCTCATATACTAAATCTAATTGTGCAAGATTATTTGAAAGAAATTGATGCTTCTGTCACATGTCTTAGAAATATTGTGAGGTATGTGAGATCTTCACCTGCAAGGACCTTAAAATTCAAACAGTGTTGTGCACATGTAAAGTTAGAATGTACCAAAACATTATGTTTGGATGTTCCTACTAGGTGGAATTCCACCTATTTTATGTTGGATAGAGCACAAAACTTTGAAAAGGCCTTTGACAAGTTTCATCTTTTTGATGATGGATTTTCTGCTTATCTATGTTCTCATCTTTGTGAAGATGGTAGTAGTGCAGGTCCTCTTGAATCTGATGATTGGGTGAATGTGAGGAATGTGATAGCGTTTCTTACAAGATTTCACGAGCTCACCAAAAACGTTTCAGGTTCACGTTATGTCACTTGTAATTCTCATTTTGAGGATGTATCTGAACTTTATTATCATTTGAAAATGTGTTTAATTAGTGAGGATGAGCATTTGAGAAAAATGGCTGAGCGGATGTAAGAAAAGTTCAAGAAGTATTGGGGTGAGCCTGAAAAGATGAATAAAATGATTTTTATTACTTCCGCCTTGGATCCACGTAACAAATTTGAATATGTTAGCCTTGAACTTGAAGAACTTTTTGGGGAGGAAAAAGGGAAGAAAATAAATGATGAGGTGTATGCTTATATGAATTCTTTGTTTGAAGAGTATCTAAAAAAGTATTCAACTGGATCTTGTCCTCAATCTCCATCTAGTTCTACTTCATCTAATAACACATCTAATACATCTAGTGGGAGTATTTTAACTGCATCATTAATAAAGACGAAGCTTCACTTGAAGAAACAAAAGGAAGACAATGAAAGTGAGGGTGCTAAATCGGAGTTGGATAAATACATTAGTGAAGAACAAGAGCCTTTTAGTGAAGAATTTGATATTTTAAGTTGGTGGAAAACACATGCTCCTAGATTTCCTATTCTTTCAGAGTTGGCTCGTGATGTGTTGGCCATTCCAATTTCTAGTGTGGCGTCAGAATGTGCGTTTAGCACCGGTGGCCGTATTCTTGATTCATTTAGGAGTTCATTGACTCCTAAATGTGTGCAAGCTCTTGTTTGTGTTCAATATTGGCTTAGAGAAGAAAAGAATCCTATTAGTGTTGAAGAAGACTGGGAGTATCTTGAGGAACTCGAGTTTGGTTAGCTTTAATATTTTGTGTGTATTTTAGTTCAAAATAATATATCATACTTGTTTATTTATATGACATATTTGGTCGAATTATCTTTAGATATGGAAAATAATGCAAGCACTACTAGCATTGTTTGATGTATAGTTGCAACTTGTAACTTGAGTGGTAAGTTTAATACTCTATTTGTTTGGTGATATACTTTTGTAGTTTTGTTTTATTATCATCAAAAAAATAATATTCTAACTTATGATTTATCTTTTTTTTAGGTTCAAGTGCAATCATGACCCGTGCTCCTAATGTTCATCCAAAGAGGGATGACACATATTGTTTAAGAAAGCATATTAGGCGTTGTCTTGAGCGTCTTCCCGAAATCCGTATTTAAGAATTAAGACTAAGTTGATTTGAGACTATTAGTGTAAACTTGAATAGAGGGATGCCCTCTATGTTTTTGTTGCACTGTGTTTAATTCTGCTGGTTGCTGCTACTCGTTAGTAGTTGTTACTATCTGAGCTTGCTGTGATATTTATTTACTTCTTTTCCCTTTCAAGTACTTGTTAGGAATGTGATAATCAGGTGTGTACTTGCTGTGAATGTGATAATCATGTGCTCTTACACGCCTTTTGTTATTTAGTGTTTCTGGCTTGCTTACTTTATTATTTAGTGTTGCTTCCTTGCTGCCTTTTATTAGGTAGAATAGCAGTTGGCAGATTATTTAGTGTTGTGGTGCTGCCTTACTTATACACCTTTTGTTAGGCAGAAATCAGAATGGCGGATTTGATTATTTAGTGTTGTTGCCTTTTGCTTAATGCTTAGGCTCTTAGCACTTGGTAGTACGACACATGAATATGTATTAAACAGAAACCGTACCGAACCAAAATAAAAAATACCGAACCGTACCGAAATACTTTGGTACGGTATTTGATATACACAATTGATAAACCGAATACCGAAATACCGAACCAAAACTCTTAAATACCGAACCGAAATACCGAATGCCCACCCCTAGCCCAAACATGGCATTCAAACCAATTTACATAAACTTTTTCTAAAACATATAAGTATCATATAGTTTCAACAAAATATGCAACTTTACAGCTGTTCGGGACGGACCAAGTCACAAAACCCCAACAGTGCACGCCCACACGCCCGTCACCTAGCATGTGCGTCACTAAAAATATTAGAATGATACAAAACAAATCCGGGGTTTCGTACCCTCAGGACTAGATTTACAGTCGTTACTTACCTCGAACCGGTCAAATCTCTACCCCGCAATGCTCTTGCCTCTAGACTCGGCCTCTAAATGCTCCGAATCTATTCACAATCAATACAATACCATCAATACGCGCTAATGGAATGAATTCCACAAGAAAAGCTACAAAATTAGACCAAAACCCGAAATTGGCTCAAACCCGTCCCCCAGGCCCACGTCTCAAAATCTAACAAAATTTACAAAACTAAAAATCGCATTCACTCATGAATCTAACCATACCAAATTCATCAAAATTCGAAATCGTTTGATCCTTCAAATCCTTAAATTACTCTCGCAAAATTCCAAGTCCTAACCCCTCGTTTTCACTAATTACATGATTAAACAATGAGAAATCACCAAATATACGAGTATTAGGGCTCAAGAAACTTACCTCAGTGATAGCCCTTGAATCACCCTTCAAAAATCACTCCAAAAGATCCAAAAACCGACTCGAAAATGATGGAAATGAACCAAAATCGCGAAGGGTTCTATTTATGGTTTCTGCCCAGGTTTTTCACACCTGCGGAATATTTCACGCTTCTGCGCCACCGCACCTACGGAAAAATTCATCGCAGGTGCGAAACTCACTAAGGAGCCCAGATTCTGCATCTGCGGCCCAAAACCCCACGCCTGCGAAAGCGCACTTGCACGTCTCCTCCGCTTCTGCGAAGCCTGCCCAGCATCTCCTTTCCGCATCTGCGCCCCAGGTTTCGCACCTGCGGGCTCGCAGATGCGACCTCAAACTCACACTTGCACAACCTGCCTAGCCCAGCATTGCCCGCACCTGCGCACTCCCTACGCGCCAGCGGCCTCGCACCTGCGACTCTTTCTTTTGTAGGTGCGAAAATAGCAGTAGCAGCAGCTTCAGCTGCATTTTCCAGCTTTGACAAATCCGTTAACCACCTGGAATCACCCCGAGGCCCTCAGGACCTCAACCAAAAATACGAACAAGTCATATATCAACATACCAACTTACCCGAACCTTCGAATCACTCAAAACAATATCAAATCATCAAATTACCCTCGGATTCAAGCCTAAGAACTTCTAAATTTTTAAATTCGGCAACCGATGCCAAAACTAGCCAAACCACGTCCGAATGACCTCAAATTTTGCAAAAACATCACAAATGACACTACGAACCTACTCCAACTTTCGGAATTCCATTCCGATCCCGATATCAAATTTTCCAATGCCGACTGAAAGCGCCAAATTTCCAATTTCGCCAATTCAAGCCTAATTCTATCACGGACCTCCAAATCATATTATAGACGCATTCCTAAGTCCACAATCACCTAACGGAGCTAAAGTAACCATCAGAATTCATATTCGAGATCGTTTACACATAGGTCAACATCCGGTTGACTTTTCTAACTTAAGTTTCTACTTAAGAGACTAAGTGTCTCAATTCAATCTGAAACCACTCCGGTCCTGAACCAACTAACCCGATATAATATAATATAGCTGAATAACACAAAAAGAAGTAGAAATGAGGAAAATGGGGCTATAACTCTCGAAACGACCGGCCGGATCGTTACAACGTCGTGTGTAGATCTAGGTGATCCCGGATACAGTGGGTGTTGATTCTTTCACACAGTTGATTTTCCGGAGATTCAGAGGTAGCTGCTATGTTTCGCAGACCTTCTCTCTCCTTCCATATCCTTTATTTATTTTATTTGGTCTCAGATTATTATAGATCGGGTTTACCAAACTTGTAATGTATAGATGCTCATGTACTCAGTGACACCGGGTTTTGGGAGTAAATTTATATTCAGTGTTGGTGGAAGATTTCTCCTTAAATTAATTATTATATTTTCAGTATTTAAAAGAAATGGTGGGTTATTACTGTTGTCGGCTTGCCTAGTATCGAGATAGGCGCCATCACGATGGTTGAGATTTTTGGATCGTGACAAGTTGGCATCAGAGCCTAGGTTACATAGGTCTCACGAGTCTTGAGCAGGTTTAGTAGAGTCTTGCGGATTGGTACGGAGACGTCTATACTTATCTTCGAGAGGCTGCCGAACCCTTAGGAAAATTTTACTTTCTTGTATTCTATCATGTGAACTTGTTGATTTCGGAAACTAAAAATTCTGTTATTCTATTATCTCACAGATGGTGAGGACATGTACTACCGGATCGGATGGTCAACCACCAGTGCCACCAGTTAGGGCCGCGAGAGGCCGAGGCCGTGGTAGAGGCCGGGGACGAAGTAGAGGTCGGGGTGTTGCTCGTACAGCAGTTGGAGTAGCACCTCTAGCACCACCAGTTGCTCCAACTCAATAGTAGATTCCAGATGTAGTTGAGCCGGTGGTACCCGCTCAGGCACCAGCTGAGCCCATCGAGATTCCAGGCCTACAGGAGGCTTTGGCTCACATATTGAAAGTTTGCACTGGCCTTGCTCAGGTGGTTTTGGCTCAGGCCACACCAGCCACTTCTCAGGCCAGGGGAGGTACTTATACCTCGTTGCCCGTGCTCCAGAGCAGGTAGTGCAGGGACTTCAGATACCAGGGGCACTACCAACCTAGCCGGCTGCAACTGCTCAGGCCCCGGTAGTCCCCGTTATGGCAGATGATGAGCATAGGAGACTTGAGAGATTTGGGAGGCTTCGACTCCATCATTTAGCGGTGCTGAGTCAGAGGATGCTTAGGGTTTTCTGGATAAGTGTCAACGGATGCTTCGGACAGCAGGTATTCTGGATACCAGTGGAGTCTCGTTCACTACTTTTTTGTTTTCTAGGACTGCCTTCAGATGGTAGGAGGCTTATGAGAGGCGCAGTCTAGTTGGTGCAGTACCACTTACATGGAAGGAATTCTCCGTTCTCTTTTTGGAGAAGTTCGTGCCGCAGTCTCGCAGAGAGGAGCTACGCAGATAGTTTAAGCAGTTACATCAGGATGGCATGTCTGTAACGCAGTACGAGATGAGATTTTCTGAGTTGGATCATCACACAGTTTGGTTGGTTCCTACTGATAGGGAGAGGACTAGGAGGTTCATTGATGGACTCACATATCAGCTGTGGTTACTTATGACTCGGGAGAGAGTATCAGTTGCTACTTTTGATGAGGTAGTTGACATTGCTCGGAAGATAGAGATGGTTCGCAGTCAGAAACGTGAAGAGAGGGAGGCCAAGAGGCCTTCTGGACCAGGTGATTTTAGCGGTGTTCCTTTAGGGGGTCAATTTTACCGCGGCAGGGGTCGTCCTTATAGACACGCTCAAACGGGTCGTCCAGTTCACCGTGGTGCACCATCCGTCTAGGGTTCTATAGTTCTCATCAGGGCCAGTCATCTCTTAGTGCCCTCCCAGCCCAGAGTTCGTCCCGTGCCCCTTCAGTTCAGGGTTCATTTGCACCTAGTGCTTCTAGCAGTTATTCTGGTTCTCGGGTCCCAATTCAGTCCACACCACCACCAGTACCGGGGAGCTACTTTGAGTGTGGGGAATTTGGGCATATGTGGAGATAGTGTCCTCATCGCTCGGGAGGTCCAGTGCATCAGAGGAGTCAGACTGCGACTTCAGCACCAATTGCTTCACCACTCGCCCAGTCAGCACGAGGTAGGAGTTAGTCAGCTAGGGGTCGCCCAGGAGGGGGAGGACGATCAGGTGGCGGTCAAGCCCGATTCTATGCTTTTCCTGCCAGACCAGATGATGTTACTTCAGATGCAGTGATCACATGTATTGTCTCAGTGTGCCATAGTGAGGCTTCTATATTATTTAACCATGGTTCTACTTATCCGTATGTGTCATTGTACTTTACTCATTATCTGGATATGCCCCATGAGCCCTTAGTTTCACTTGTTCGTGTATCTACGCCAGTGGGCGATACTATTATTGTGGACCGTGTGTATCGGTCATGTGTGGTAACTATTGGGGGATTAGAGACTAGAGTTGGTCTCTTATTGTTCCGTATGGTTGATTTTGATGTAATTCTAAGTATGGATTGGTTGTCTTCATGTTATGCTATTCTGGACTGTCACGCAAAAACTGTAACGTTGGCAATGCCGGGGTTGCCAAAGGTCGAATGGAAATGTTCTCTAGATTATGTTCCGAGTAGGGTAATTTCTTATTTGAAGGCCCAACGTATGGTGGGGAGGGGGTGTTTGTCATATTTGGCCCTTGTGAGAAATGTTGATGCAGATACCCCTACTATTGATTCAGTACCGGTAGTGCGAAACCTTCCGGATGTATTTCCTACAGACCTGCCGGGTATGCCACCCGACAGGGATAGTGATTTCGATATTGACTTGGTGCCGATCACTCAGCCCATTTCTATTCTTCCGTATCGTATGGCACCAACTGAATTGAAATAATTGAAATAGCAACTTTAGGAACTTCTTGATAAAGGGGTTTATTAGGCCTAGTGTGTCACCTTGGGGTGCACCAGTTTCGTTT